CCCGCAGCAACATCCCCAGCAGCATTCGCAGCAGCACCCGCAGCAGCATCCGCCGCAACATCCGCAGCAGCATCCGCAGCAGCATCCGCAGCAGCCACCGTTTCAGAGCAGTGGTGGGTTTGGGCTCAGTGGCATGAACAGCCCATCGGGGAGCCCCAGGATGGGCGGCCCCCAGCAGGGACTCTTAATGTCACCACGGAACCGAGGGAGCCCAAAAATGGGGGCCAACCAGTTTTCACCTGGAGGTAAATCCATCAGTGACCAGAAATGTAGCATCAGTATCACTGGATTCTAAATATTTTATGTATGGTTTTTTGATTCAAATTATTTGATTTTATGACTCTTGTTTGTGTTCCAGGCATACACTCTCCTATGAGCGGTATTGGCAGCGGTGGAGGAAGTGGAGGAGGCACCACCACCTTCTCCAGCAGCTCCCTAAACGCCCTTCAAGCCATCAGTGAAGGAGTTGGGAGCTCCCTCCCCTCCACCCTAATGTCTCCCTCACCAGCCCACAAACCAGACAGCTCTCCCAGCATCCACTCCTCCTCCTCTTCCTCTCAGCCCAGTCAGCCCGCCAAGCCCAGCCAAGATGGCTCCAAAAGCCCAGCCGGAGGCTTAGGGCCTGGACCTGCTGACCATCACCACCCGATGCACCATCACCACCATCATCCGCATCCTCAGGCTGAGAGTTCCGGAGACAGACCGGACAGCCAGGCTGGTACCGCTACTAAAGAATTTGGAGAGGGGAGCAATGAGGCAGGGGTGGCGAGTGCCGAACCCCCTCGGAGGGTACCAGACAGTAAGGGGCATAAGAAGTTGCTGCAACTGCTGACTTCTCCTGCTGAGGAGCTGGGAAAAGGGAATAGTGGACCAACAGGACCTCCGGTACCACCCCCAACGACCGGCAACAATACTCCTGCAGGATCAGACAGTAAGGACCCCACCGGGGGCATGACTAGCCCCTCGTCCACTGGGGTGTCCTCCTCTTCCTCAGCCAGTGCCAATCCAGGCCAGGCGGCCGGGCAAGGGGGAGTGTCCACATCGCTATCCTCAGCCCACTACACCGGCTCGCTGCAAGAGAAGCACAAGATCCTCCACAAGCTTCTTCAAAATGGCAACACCCCAGATGAAGTTGCTAAAATCACAGCAGAGGCCACAGGAAAGGTGACACTTGGGAACCAGGAAGGCGGTGAGGTGGGGACGGGAGCGCCAGGGGCCGGGCCTGGGTCGATCACAGAGCCTAAGCAGGAGCAGCACAGCCCCAAGAAAGAGAAGACCCATGCCCTCCTCCACTACCTCCTCAACAAGGATGACTCCAAAGAGCCAGCGGATGTCAAACCCAAACTTGAAGAGCTAGAGGGGAAGGGACCTCCAGGGGCTGCTGGCGGCCCTTCACGAAACGGCCCTGGATCTGGACCTGGTCCTGTACCGGAACATCCTGAGAGCAAGATCAAGTCCGAACCACCTGACGACGTAAGATTTCTTGATATTCGGAAAACTGCTACTGTAATACTGTTATTAGATATGTTCTGTCAAAAGCAACTTGAATGTTTTGGCTTTGTTTTGAATTTGGATCATTCCTTATTTTCAGTTGCACAACCTGGAGTCGATCCTGGGAGATCTGAGGGGCTCAAGCTCTGACTTTTACCCCGATCAGGCAGGAAGTGGAGGGTCTAACGACACAGGAGCCAAATCTCAGGGTTGCCTTGACGACAGCCTGCAGGGTAAGATTTAAGTAATAACATCTGGAAAATTCAAAGATTTGTAATCAACTTCATCAAGATTGACAGTAAAAGCTGTTTAGAAGAACATTTTATCCTGAAAACAAGAAATTACATTCCTGAATGAATGATTGATTACCACACTGGAGAGACTGAAGAAGTGAATTATTTCAAGTGTATAAAAAAGGGCCAATGGAAAAGTGCATGAATAGGTACTTTACAAAAGTCATGTTAATTATTCATGGTTGGTAACTCTGAC